TAAGAATAAGATAAAAATAACATAAAAGATGAATGTACACATTTGCCATAGGACATTTATAGGGTAAATAACATAAGAATAAAAATAAGGAATAAGATAAAAGATGACTATCTTTCATCTTCTTATTTTATTTTTATTTGAAAATACAAGTGCGCATGTGTAGGACATTTGACGTGACAGTCGGGTTGACGGTTGGATTCGAATTGAGTTGACGGTTGACTCATCTGTTTTGTTTTCTGTGCGGTGCGTGCTCTTTGGTTATCGTTCTGTGTGTTTGTTGCATTTGTTGTCGAAGTCGAATTAAACAAAATGGATGATGAACATTTAATCAATCAAGTTAAAGAGTTTCCTGCTCTATACAATAAAAAAGATTCTAGATACAAAAGCAAATTAGCAAAAGAAAATGCGTGGAAGACCATTGCGGCTATTTTGGAAAGCGATGGTTTGTTCTATTGTTCTTCAACCATTATGTTCTCTATATTATCTTTATATTTCCAGTTGTTAGCTGTGAACAAAGATGGACGAGTTTGAGGGCCAAATATACTACCATTCGAAAGAAACTTAGGGAGATGCCATCCGGGTCTGGGAGTGCCGATATTCCATGTTTTTGGCCATATTATCACATGCTTAGTTTTTTGGATCCCTTCCTGCTAACGAGGAGGTAAGTACATAATAATTGATTAGGTCAATAGGCTTAAGGTAATATGACTTATGTTTTAGAACGGTGTCAAACTTCAAGCCCTCAATGCAGCCAGTTTCCTCTGCTTGGGACACTTTAACTCAAGTTTTAGAGGGAACAAGAGAGGAGCCTGAACATAGTGAATCCGACGATTTTTTGACACCTCTTCCATCCCCAAGGGAGGAATCCCTAGCGGCCCCAACTCCCCAGCAGGCGAGGATCCAAAAAACTGCCAGCGCCAGTCCTCACGTCGAACTTGAGGCGAAAAAAAGGAAAACTGAAACTGTTCAAGATGAATTGTGTAACAAAATGTCTTCCTGCATTGACACACTAAATGCAAATTTGGGGCAAAAATCCTCGGACAGGGAGTTTGCTCTAAGTCTTGCCCAAGACATGAGTGTCTTGACAAGCGAAGAAAATTTTTTTTTTAAGAGGAATGCTTATATGTTACTAACAGAAATCCTAGAAAAAAGACATTAAAAAGATTTGTTTAGTACCTACCTATATTTTTTTTTTGTGCTGGATACTTTTTCAATTTAAAATAAAAAATGTCAAACTACAAGTACCATCAATGGTACCTCAATAAAAATAAATAAAATAACAAATTTAGTTTCATTCATGTATTTTTGTCAAAATAATTAGTTAACATTGAAGTTATCAGGTACAGATCCGGCATATAATCTGTTCCATTGATTTTTTATTTCTCCTAATGGGGATATTAAATATTGAGCTAAGGTATTTCGGAGCATCTGGACCCTCTTTGCAGCATTGTTTGGTCCTGTTCGTCCAATTGAACGAAGTTTATTTTTCAGTTTTCTCCATTCGCCTTCTTTTTGCTCTCCATTAATATCATCAGAGTCTGCAAATCCTGTAGGACAGTACCTTCTTTGGGATTCGGGTATGTCTTCTTCACCCTTTTGAATGAAATTATGAAGCACTACTATAGCTTGTACAATAAGCTCACATGTTTCCACATTTGCTATAATAGTACTACGTAACCTCCTCCATCTCTGGGCCATTATGCCAAATGCATTTTCAATGCAACGTCTTGCTCTTGAAAGCCTCAAATTAAAAATGTTTTCGTGATCTTCAAGGTAGCTTCCTGCATAAGGCCGCATTATATTTTCATGCAGAGGAAATGCAGCATCAGCTACAAAGTAATGGGGAAACTGGATGTCAGTTCCTGGCAAAATTTTTGCTTCTGGTAACTGTAATGTCCCTTCAATTAAAGATTTTCCATAGCTGGACTCCTTGAATACAGCACAATCATGATTTGCCCCTGCACTTCCAATGTCCACATATGTGAACTTGTAATAGGCGTCACATGTAGCCATCAAAACTATGCTAAAGATATAATTTTCAACATTAATTATTAAGCATACTATACTATAATGATTCTTATTTTACCTAAATGACTTCTTGTAGGAAAAATATGTTGATCCTGAATATTTTGGACACTGAATTTCCACATGTTTGCCATCTAGTGCTCCGATGCAGTTTGGCATATTCCATTTCTTATAAAATTCATTTGAAATAGTTTTTAGCTTTTCTTTAGATGGTGTTTCGAGTACTAGAGGTTGCAACGTCTCCCAGAGAACTTTACATGTTTATTTTATGATACAATGAGCTGTGGTTAAGCCAATGTAATTGTTCCATGCAATTTCTTGCATTGAGCACCCTTCAGATAAATAACTGCAAAAAGAAAAATATTGTTAGGGATTTAGTAGATGCAGTTTATTATTTAAAACATATATAAACATTAGTGAATCGTCTATACTCACTATAATGTTACAGCTAATCTTTGTTCTGCTGAAATCGGGCACTTTGAAGGATCTTTTGTTATATATGGTCTGATAAGGTCAAGAAGCTTATCGAACAGTTCTGGGGACATCCTGGTATACTTAAAGAATTGTTCTCTGTCATTTCGCTTAGCAAATTTCAAGAGTTTGTCATATACAGAAACATTGGTCCTATTTCTGTTCATTGGCCTAACCTTAAACCTCCTGTTTCGTTTTTTCCGCAGCAAATTCAACTGGATTGCAATCGTCATGAAAGTCATGAGTAAAACCGCAGCCTCAATGTCGTCCAACATTTTCCAAAATCCAAAATTTAAACCACAAAACTCAAAACTTGAACACCATAGACATAAACAAATCTTTTATTTTTTAGAAAAATTATAAAACATATGGTTGACACACTTGACAGTTCCAAAAACTTGGAGGTGCGCAGGCGTCTCCCGAAAGTTATTATTGGACGATTTCCAATCTTATTCTTATTTTATTTCTCGTATAAATGCATTCTTATTCTTATTTCTTATTTAATGTTATTCTTATTTTTATCTTATTCTTATGTTATGTTATTTGCTGTATAAATCCACCATAACACAAAACTTTTAATTTAAATAATTCAATTAATTCGCTGTAACCCATATGAATAATTGATAATAATTTAAGAGCTAAATATGACAATTTGTATAGGTACATAATAATGTTCATAAATGTCAAAATAAATTTTATGTTCGATTGATCAATAAAGTGCTATTTATAGAGCAGTTTTGTGTCAATAAAGTAGCACTATATTTTACTGTAGAATAAAGTGCTTCTTCATTTTACTAGTAAAATAAAGTGCTACTTTATTGCCTACCTGGACTACCTGACAACCTGCCAAAGTGAAACTGGTATACTCATTCAATTTTTTTAATTTTTAATAAAAACCAGTCGCAATTGTACATAAAATCATGTATATAACGCTTACATAAACAGGCTTTTTTGGCTCATTATTCAATAGCCTCTCTCATAAACTTGCTCTGCGTTAAAATTATTCGTACAATAAAGCCTTACTTTACGTACCTGGGCTTTCATTTTAAAACTTTCCACCTCTATTTATCTCAGAGTTGAACAATTTTCGAAAAAATTCCTGAAACATATCAACTATAATTTGAGGGAGGATGAGTTCTTATGCAAAATTCACCTTCCCTCTTTCAACCCCCCAGACCCCAGAGCCATCCCCTAGAAAATCTTAAATGGGAAGGGGGGTGATCCATAATTTTGGAGGGTTTTCAATTCTATACATTTTGGTACTGAATTTTGATCCCCGAGTTCAACTGTTTTGCATATATTGACAGTTGAAATTTGACTTTTTTGCAACTTTTGAATTTAATCCATGATCGAAAATTCCGGTTAAAAATTCAATCTCCGGTTAAATTCAAAGTTGGTGTCAAATGATAGTTTATAGTTTTCTTTCAAAATTATAACTGTTTAGCCTGTCAAGTTGCAAAAAAGTCAATTTTCAACTGTCAATATTTCCAAAACAGTTGAACTTAGTACCAAAATGTATCCAATTAAAAATCCTCCGAAATGATATCACTTGACTTCGGTTCCCATTCAAGATTTTATAGGGGTTGGCGCTGGGGGGCTGAAAGGGGGGAGGTGAAGTTTGCATAGGAACTCATCCCGCTTCAAATTATACCTACTTGGCGTGTTTCAAGAATTTTTCCTAAAATTGTTCAACTCCGAGATAAAAGGGGTGGTAAAGTGGAAAGTTTTAAAATGAACACCCTGTATAAACAGATATTAAAGTTAACCATAATATTATGGGTAGGTAAGTAGGCTTTAACTAACAAGTATTTTGTCATGCATATGTTTCAGGTATTAGTTTTAGTTGGAAAGAGATCGAAGAAATTAACTTCAATTGAATAATTGTGCTTAATTAGCTGGAGAAAATATATTACATATTATAAACATTCCAAAAGAGAAACAGCTAAGTTAGCATCTTACTATTTTAAGATTCTTCGTCATTAATTCAGTTTAAAATCAGATTCTGACGAACTAAAATCTGTTTTTTTTTTTTAAAGATAAAAGTCAAAATGACATTATGTTGGCAACACAATGTAAAATTTTTATGTAGAAAAGGCTTGTGATGCCAACATAGTTACTAAATTTTTGACTTGGGGAATTATCTTTAAAAAAAAAAAACACACTTTAGGGAGAATCCTACAACTATCGTATTTAAACTTTGTTTCTACCATGTATATTTCAGGTAGATAAAATCAAGTTGAAATATAAAAGGACTAACATAACATAAAGCTTTATGGAACGAATTCATTTATGGCTAAGCCAACTGGCTAGCGAGTCTATATTAAAATGAGGAGTCCTTATTATAAACGGGTGGGCGTGCCAAAAAAAATTAGAATATTTAATTCCGTATAAATATTTTTTAGGTTCTTAAAATGGAGCTATTAAAATCGGGAGGAAAAGAAATTTTCAATATTTATAATGAAAAAAAATACCTAGATAACAAGACACGAAAGAAATTAGTAAACATGGTCGTTAATATAATGGTTGAGAAGTATGGGACTGACATCCACAAAAACGTGAAAATTGATTTTGCTAAAGCAATTGTTTGCCTTTTCCCCTGCTATAGAACAATATCAGAAAAAGGCGGATATGTAGGTTTAAAATGTTATTTATACATTCTCCAGTAATCATGTGATGTGAAATTCTATCACTTACTGATTTTTTTTTTTTAATAAAATTTCCTATTAATTTAACTCCACAAGCTAGACAACTAGACAACTAGAATCAAAATCTGATCAATGTATAACAATTTTAAACTTTTAGGAAACATTTTACAATCCAGATACTGGTGCTGGCTTTCTAGCTTGGAGGCTAAGAACCATAAAAAGAAACTCTCCAAAACAGCGAAAGCCGGCAACAAAAAGGAAACAGTCATGTGAACTAAATACTACAACAAAAAAATCTAGAACTGAGCCACCTGATGTGGAAGTTGCAGAAATGGTCCAGTTCATGAAAAATGCATTACCAGACCAGAAAGAAATCATCATTAAAAAAATGAAACTGACATTTGAATATAGGAGGTCAATTGTAAAGGATACCACCTCTGTTTTACTTGAATTTCCAAGGTTTATGGACACACCTGATTTGGTAAGTTCATGGAGTCTCCGCTTTTCCCAGCATATATTTACTATTGATTTTTCAGAAAAAAACTTATTCTTGAAAATATTTTCACAGCATAGTACTTGTCAATATCTTTCAATTCTATCTGCCTGCAGATTTATGGTTTTCCTTATTGAATTTTAGATCAACAACGATTTTACTCAGCTTTTGCCCAATTGTCCCAGTCTGGAAGATTTTATAATTATATTTGGCGAGAAAATTTTATCAATTTATAAAAATTTAGAAACGGCCGAATCCAGTGTAACTGGTGAAGAAGAAAGTGAGGTGGAGATTTGGGATAGGGATACCCGAATATTCCTAGCAGTTTTATTTATGCTTCCACCAACAGCAAGAGGGCGCAAAAAAGTAGAAAGAATACCCATTAAAGAGCTACCCAACTGTCTTATTATTTTTTGTAAGGTAATAATAACTTCTTTTACGATATTTTAAATGTTTCCAATTTCTAAATTTTTAAATTTTTTTAAACTAGGAGTTTGTCCTGAAAAATTAGATATTTAAAAAAAATGGTAGTAATATTTAAAAAGAAAAAATACATACACATAATAATATGTTACTTATTTTTATATATATTTTTTTTAATACTGCTATTTTTTGCAGAGAGGCAGACCTTTACAAGAAATTATTGATTCCCGGAGCACCAAACAACCCATTGTTATTGCTTGTGGCCCAAATAAGGCAGCAATTGATTACTACGTTCTTTCAGTTGATGGTAATATATTGCAACCAGAAATACATCGAAGTGTTGATGCCTTGGATCTTTTGTTTAACACGTTCACTGTCTTACGACCCATATATGGGTCGTAACTTCATTTACCTATAAGTCCTACGACCCCTATATGGGTCGTAAACGTATGTTTTGTTATAGCCTAAAATTAAATGGGACGTATCAGTAAATTATTGCTCTCTGTAAGGGGACTCTGAAGAAAAAAAAAAGCTACATTTTGGTATAAGAAAAAGTATATTACGTCACAAAATAACGGAGATACGGGGTATCAAAAATGGGCATAAAAAATATTGAAAATTCTCTTATTATAAGCCTATACAGAGAAAACAAAACGAAAACATATTGAAATTTAATGATTTTCTGCAAAACATGGAATACAAAATGCTTGGTTGCATTGACGGCACAAAGTTGAGACTTTCTTAGTTTTTCTACAAGCTTCTTTTGATGGAAGAGTTTCTCTCAACTTTGTGTAGCATCCGTGACATCGTTTCCTATATATTTTCGCATCATCACCTCTAAGTAGTTCCTCAAGCTTGTGAGCTCCTCCCTCATGCGTTTTTTGCTTTTTCACATTTTGATTTGTTTTGAGAAGGCTGTGAATTAGAGATTCTCTCATTTTCAACATTGATATTTGTTCTTTCGCTGGACGCACAGAATTGTACAAAATAAAAGTGTTGACAACAAGTGCCCCACAAATTATTTCAGTGGCCAATTTTTTGAACCATACCAATGACTTACGGAGGCAAGTGTAGTAACTGGATAGTTGATCAGAGATATCTACCCCCTGCTTTCCCTTATTATAATCAATTATCGCTAATGGTTTGATTTTATCTTCTCCGTTTCTTTTTTTCCCATAGACTTTCATTTGTTCATCATGACACGTGGAAAGTATATGGACATCACGTTGATCATGCCACTTGAAGAAAGTGATGAAGTTGTTTTGTTTGCCAACTATCTGCCCTTTTTTTAGTTTGCAGTTGACTACATCCTTGGGTAGACCTATTCTATTTTTCCTCACGGTGCCTAACAAATTGGTTTTCCTTTCGTAGAGGTATTTGGCAAGTTCAATGCTTGTATAATAATTATCTGTTATTACCAATCTGCCAGCATTTAACAAGGGCTCAACCAATTCAACAACTGTACTACCAGGATGGTCTAGTCCTTGGCGTCTTTCATTTGTTCCAGAATATATTTTCAGATCCCAAGTATATCCAAGTGGAGAGCATACTTTAAAAATTTTAATACCATATCTGTGAGCTTTTGATGGATTATATTGCCGAAACTTTAGACGACCTCTGAAAGGAACCATAGTCTCGTCCACAACAACTGTATCATCAAGAGAATATACATTTTTTATGTTATTTCTGATAAGGTCTAACAAAAGTGAAATTTTTGACAAGCGACTTTCTGATGGTTTTGTTTTGTCTTCGAAATGCCAACATTTTAACAATAATGTAAAGCGGTTATACTTTATAGGAAGTCTGTGAAAAAGCTCATGGTGGTACAATGGGTCCATTTTCCAGTAACATTCTATGGTAGGAAAGTTTATAAGTCCCATAAGCAGCAGCATACCTAATACAAAACAAAAAACACACATATTCAATCATCAGTGCAAAAATCAAAGTTGTAATTACTTACCAAGAAAAGTTTTCATTTCTTCTTTGTCTGTATCGTTCCATCTAGAGATTCTTGCTGAGCGTACTAAACGTTTTTTGCGTTGAAGTTCCAAAGCATAGATATTAGTTTGTGCAACCATTAGCTCAATAATATCGTCAGTCATAAATAAACTAAAAATATCTATGGGTTCCATATCTTGAGTGATTCGAATGTTTGCTCCTCGTACTGCACTAAATGTGAATCTTGAAAAAGGTAGAATGGTTGATGACCATTAATCAGGATCACTCTCATTTATTTCGTCGTCTGAATATTCACTGTCTTCTTGTTCACTTTCATCTTGAAGATCACTATCATCGCCCATTTCTCCATTAGAACTTGAATCGTCATCTTCAGATTCGTAATTTGGATCTACCAGGCTGTCGTCTGAATCGAAATCACTGACAGAACTAACTTCGGATAAATTTTCCACGATATCTTCTAACTCTCTTTGGGTTAGTTTACGCTTTTGTCCGGACATAGTCGTATTTGGTAGGGAAACACGCTCAGAAGGTTATCTGGAAAGACTACTGAACAATATTGGCGGGATGAAATACAGAACACGTGCTGCTTGTGAGATGTTGCCACATAATGGAAATTTTATTTTACGACCCATATATGGATCGTAAGACGTAGAACGTACTTCAAAATTACCACAACGTCCTACGAACCACATATGGGGCATAGAAATTTAAATGGCGACGTGGAACGGTGAGCGGAAAAATAACATTAGGACAGTGAACGTGTTAAGGTACACTATGTATTTGATCTTGCTTATGAAGAAGCGCTTAGTTCATTTTTTAAATTTTTGCAATATTTTGTGTATGGTATAGATACATCTACTTTAGTTTTATCACCAAAAGTAACTGAACTGGTATCCCGTATTTTGAATGCCTAAAGTATTATTGTTTTGATGTGAATCTGCTCTTTTCTCACAAAATGAATTTAATTTGTTTTAGATGTCGAGTTACAATTGAATGTGTAAAGGTGGGTTCTAACAGAAACTTAATTTAAATTAGCATTTAATGTAACATAATTTAAAAAGTTAACCGACCGGCATCTAATGATAGCGTTCATACAAAAAATGCAATTTAAGATTTAATGTAACGTAATGTAAAAGTTCGCCAACTTTTATCTTTTACGTTAAATTGCGTTACATTTCGATCTTCTGCGCAAACTCGTTTGTTTGGCGTATGACAAATGACAAATTGTTTACTGTTGAGTTTAGTTTGAAAAAAAAACAAAACAAACAATTTGTATTGGATTAAACTGCATTTTAGTAAATATTCAGGCTATTCGTGATTTGTGAGTGATTTTTTTTATAAATTTATAGCGGTAGCATGACAAGGTATCTAAGCACGTTTTTTTACGCGCGATATGTTGTAAAAATTGTTTTTTAGATGCTTACTGAAGAAGAAACTTGGTTTATGTTTTTGCTAGGAGCTTCTGCCCTCACTTTGAGCATTGCCTTGAAAAGAAAACGAAGGTATAAAATTAGACCTATAAATAGAGAGAGGAATAAATACAGTGTTTATGAAAAAATTGTAAAATTTGCGGAAAGGGAGGACCATGAACAGTTTTTTAAATACACTCGAATGAGTCCCCAAATGTTCAATCATCTGCTTAATTTGATTGAACCATATATAAGGAGGGACTTGTCAAAAGGACCTATATCACCTGGGCAGAGACTGGCTTTGACTTTGCAGTAAGTATTTTTTAAAGCCTTAAGTCAGCTTCTGATGCTAGCATTGCCTTTAGGATAGGTACTTCATAGAGGTTATAAAGTTGATTTCTAGTTATATAGCTTAGAATCTAAACTCAGATGCAACTTTACAACTAATTACATTCAAGGCCAGCCAATACAATGTGTTTTAAGGGCAGTTTTGCATTCTAAAGCTAGATATTGGTGTTTTTATTTTAACAAACTTATTTACTTCTAGTTACCTATCGGAAGGATGTTCCATGCAAGAAATTGCCTGGAATAACCATATTGGCAAGAGCACTGCTCATTACATAATCAAGGAGACCTGTAAAGTATTATGGGAAGTTTTACAACCTTTGGTGTTGCCAAATCCTACATTAGAACATCTGGAAAATATTGCAAAAGAAAATTTTAAGAGATGGAATATGCCAAATTGCATAGGTTCCGTTGATGGAAAACACATTGAAATTCAATGTCCAAAGCAATCTGGATCAACATATTTTTCTTACAAAAAATCTTTTAGGTAAGCTTCAATTCTTACAGTACCTATATCTTACATTTTTCCACTCATGTTTCAATTAATCTTTCAAACGTCACCCATTTAAAACAAAATATTTTTTTAGCATGGTATTAATGGCTGTATGTGATTCATATTATCGCTTTACATATGTGGATATTGGAGCAGCAGGGGCCAATCACGACTCAGCAATTTTCAAAAATTCTGGCTATGGAAGTGCTTTACTAAATGGCACACTTCCCATTCCAGCTTCTGCACCGTTGCCTGGAACGGATACATTATTTCCTTATTTTTTTGCTGCTGACCAAGCATTTCCTTTACACGAAAACATTATGAGACCATATCCAGGAACGTATCTAGATGATTCTAAAAATATTTTTAATCTAAGGTTGTCTCGAGTAAGAAGGACTATTGAAAATTCGTTTGGTATATTGGCTCAAAGGTGGAGACGGTTAAGAAGCACAATAATAGCTAGTGAGGAAATGTGTCAGTTAATTATCCAAGCTACAATTGTTCTTCACAATTACATACAAAAAGGAGAAGGAGATCTACCTGTTAAGGATAGAAAATACTGTCCCACAGGTTTTGTTGATTGGGTTGATAATAATGGAGTTCTTCACATGGGAAAATGGCGAAAAGATAAAAAATTAAGAAGTGTTGGCCGACTAGGTTCAAATAATGCTGCAACAAACGTAAAAAATTTAAGGGAAACTCTTACAGATTATCTTTTGTCACCACTGGGAGCCCTTAAACATCAGTGGGATCAAATTAGCGCTGGGGGTGTTCCCGATAATTTTACTTTTACTGATTAGCATGTTACGGAAGAAATTTTTTTTTATAATTTCCAATAAATTTTTTTATTCTATCTATTCCTGTGTTATATTATTTAATGAGTTGATTTTTCCTTTTTATCTTACACATAAAGTTATTTCTTTAAAAAAAGTATTTCCTTATTAGGGATTTTTATTTAAAGTCTGATTTTTGTTAAAAGTTTTGTTGCTTTTTTTTAAGTTATTAACTTTTTAATTAAAAATAAAACAAAGGGTAAAGTATTGTTTAATTTCTGTTGTTTAATATTTCTTCAAAACATGTGTACATTTTTTTTTTAAATACATAATATTTTTTCTTCCGTGGTGAGTATTTTCATATCGTTTGCCAAAGAAATGGCAAAAGCCATCGACTCGTCATGTTCATGTGGTTCTGAACTTGTCATTTTTTTTTGAAAAATGTCGAAACAGTTGCCCATTTTGGCAAGCGCAGTCTCCTGGGCTGTTGCCTGCCTCTTAATAGGAATTGATCGAGGAATTGATTTTCTTATGCTCAATTTTTTTTTTGAAGGACCTGATTGATCATCGTCAGGCTCGGAAGTAGATTCGGCGGTACGTAACCTTTCTGTTCCAATTTTAGGCGTAACTCTGTTTCCTTGCTGCAACAGAGACTGTGACTCGAGCTGTGACTGCTCTGAATCTTCTCCCCCATCTATAATAACCGCCATGCTGTCCCACACACGAGGTTCTTTGCTTCTGCAGCTACTTTCTTCCTCTGTTAACATACTGACCTCCGTAGCGTCAGTCATAGAGGTCTGAGATTCCTCTTCCCACTGACTTTGGCTTTCCGAAGCTATAGGGTAGTTCGAAGTTGTTCTGGAAATGAATAATTTCTGCTAAATATTCAATAAAAAACAATTTTTTAAAGTTAAATTCATTTTAAACTGTAAAAACCTACTTTCTTGTTGTCAAATATGGATCCAAAAATCCCATTGAGTGGAAATGGGGCCAATTATTATGGAATGCTCCGGAGCCTGAAGGCATGGTGGTTATCTCACGCTTTATTTTTGTGTACCTATTTCTCAGTACAACCCACCGCTGCTCGCATACTTGGGCTACGAATTAGGACAAAATTAAATACATAATAACATTGCTGTGCAATGTAAACAAAAACTTACGCCTTTGTCCAAGAATGGCTCCAATTGTCTTCCAGGCATTTTCTTTAGCCCCTTTATTTTTAAATCGAGCGTCCCCCTTGTTATAGAGGGCAGAAAATCTGCCCACTTGCTCTATCAGGTCGGCGTCGTCCATTATTTAGTGTAGTAATCGCTAATCGCCGCTTTATTTTCTCGTTAAATTGATACAAATCAACACAACACAATACAAAATAAAATCTACTTACTGAAAAGGGCAAATAACAGCTGACATACTGACAAGTGAACTGTCGATAAATGCGCAAGCGCGAAGAAACGCATTTTATTGGTTAAAATATCAATCCTTGCCTTAAGTTAAATCTTTGTATGAACGTAACTAAATGAAATTAAATTATTTCTTAAATTAAATGCTAAATTAAATTAAATTATTTTCTGTTAGAACTCAGCTTAAGATTGTTCATTCGACATTTAAGGTTAAACCACAATATTTATGAAAGCAGTAACCAAATTCTTTACTGTGGTGTCGATAAATGCCCATCAAAATTTAATACTATCAGTGGATTAAGAAAGCACATGGTAAACTGTGTTGCCAAACATTCTTCCGTTCCCCCTAATGCAGACTGTAAGATTAGTGTTCAAGATATAGATGAAAAAGATTTGGTAGAAGCTTCTTGTTCAAATTCCGAGAGTAGTGTTCAACATACAGATGAAGTAGATTTAGAAGCAACGCCGAATAAGTGTGTTGATGAAATTTTTGCTCCACGACCGGACCGTTGCTCAATTCTTTTGTTCATAAACTACAGCCTATTTCCCTCCCAGAAAGTACTATTCAGACAATTTATACTTGCACCACTGAATTTGTTGATAGCATTTTTGAAAGTACATTAGAATTGCTTCAAAAAAGAAACCAAGGCCATCAAATTGAAATAGTCAGCGAACATTTTAACAATATAAAAACTACTATGAAAGCCTTTAACTCAACCTACAAAAGAAATAAACCTGATGATGAGAGTAATGTCGTTATTCCCCGTGAACTTTCGATTGGTATACGTCGCGATAAAAAGTTTGATAAAAATTTACAATCCCATATTGAAGTTAATGTCCCTTTGACTTTTATGTATATTCCTATATTAGATACAATTAAATATCTAAAAATCCAACTTTTTACAAGTATTTGGAAACATCATTTGAAAGTACGTGCTCTGATAATATTTTAAAAGACATTGGGGATGGTTTGCTATTAAAGAATAACAGTTTATATAAAAAGCAATCTCGGATGCTTAAAATACATTTGTATTATGATGACTTTGAATGTACAAATCCTCTAGGATTTAAAACAGGTGTTCACAAGATAGGAGCCATTTATTTTATCATCTACCCCCACATTTAAATAGTCATTTAAGTAATATACATGTAGCAGCCTTATTTTTTGCACAAGATCTGAAAACTGTTAGTTTTAATAAAATTCTGGAACCAGTCGTTAAGCACCTCTAATTACTAGAAACTACAGGCATAGTCATAAATAACAACATATTTCATGGTTCGTTGGTGGCAGTTTCTTTTGATAATTTAGGTGGCAATACCCTTTATGGAATGGTGGAATCTTTTTCAGCAACCTTTTTTTGTAGACTTTGTGTTATTCAGAGATCAGATCTCAATAATGTTCTAAGTGAAAAAGATAATAGGTGTATCTTACGAAATAACAAAACCTATGAAGAATGCTGTGAACTCTTCCCCTTGTTAATCAATGATTCTTCAAAAAACAATATTTACGGAATTAAAGAAAGAAGCATTCTGAATGATTTAAAGTATTTTAAAATATTTGATACTCCTACAGCTGATGTTATGCATGACATTCTCGAAGGTGTAGCTCAATACGAAATTAAACTATTTTTGTCAGCTCTAATTGATAAGAAAATTGTATCTTTAGAAGCTATAAACCGGCGAGTTGCGCAATTTCAATATGGTGCAATTTACATGCACCAAAAGCCAAGTCCTATAATTTTAGAGAAGCCGAGTAGCCTCATTGGTCAAAGAGCCTACCAAACTTAGATTTTAATACGATTTCTGCCTCTTATTTTGGTTGATTATTTTTCAGATAAAATAAGCAACAAATGGAGGATTATTACGCTTTTATTGGAAATTATGGCTATAGTATTTGCTCCATGCGTTTCTCAACATCATATAATTGAACTAGAAAATTTGATAATAGAACATCATCAACTATATTTAACTACATTTAAAAATTCAACTCTGAAACCAAAACATCATTTCATGATTCATTACCCCACAATTATAAAAAATATGGGACCTTTAATCACTTTATGGTGTATGAGATTTGAAGGAAAACATAACTATTTTAAAAACCTAGTTCATCAGCTCAAAAACTTTAAAAATGTATGTAAAACCCTAGCTAACAGGGCGCCTATTCTTGAAATAATGTGAAAGGAACATTCGCCTGGGAGAAGTGATCGGTTGCCTCATATTTGTTCTATGTGATGTGATCAAAACCCGACGACCCCGAAGTATCGAAATCAGAGCCGCATTCTTTCGGACCGGATCAGTTGATCCAAACGCGTTATGTTCCAGTGATCACGTTCTTTCGCACTTTGACATTTGACAGTTAACGAATCATGATCGGAAAAGTTCTGAACATACTGAACATAAAATTTTTGTGATTAGTTTGTTCGGATCACGAAAATCTAACCACACTTTTTAAATTATTCTATTCCTTTTGTTTATTGTTTACTTCTGTGTTTTGGTTTTGATTTTGGATATCATAAGAAGTTAAATATATTTCAACACAATGTCGTCAATGTCTAGATTTGCTGATGCAGAAGGGAAAACAAAGTTGGAAATATTCGATCCAGAAAAGGGAATCGTAATTTCCCTATATTTAACTCTGGAAGAATATCACCGGGCAAATGCAGGTAAATTTACTTTTATCTTATAACCAAAGTCAGATTTCTATTACTATATCACTAGTTTTTTTCAAAATAAGTGGAGAGGTACACCTTAAATGTTATTAAGTACTTTTGGGTACCTACCTATATATATATATATATATATATATATATATATATATATATATATATATATATATATATATATCTACATTGTGGCTCATTGTAATTTATAATTTATTGTTTACAAAAAATGGTGATTGGTGTCTTGATTTTACTATATATAAATTTTCAGATATGAGCTATGCTACGGAACTACTCAATATTTATGAAGATATTATGAACAGGGAAACGCAAAGAGTTTCAGCAGAGACTATCCCACAAGAACAATCTCACAGTGGTAGCCAAAGCTCAAGCCAGAATGAAGATGGATTTTGGTCACATGGAGAGACACAGTTGCTCATCAATTTATACGGCCAGCACAAGGACGAATTTACAAATGCAAAAAAAAAAACATGTGTGGACAATCATTGCTGAGAAAATGAATGCGTATAACTACAATGTAATTTTTTTTCTTCTATAAACTTTCTTGAAATTAATTTTAATCATTAATTTTGTCCTGAAAACTTATATTTTTGTTTTTATTTCCAGAGATCTGCTGCAAAGATAGAACGAAAATGGATCAATTTACTTAGAGTATACAGATCCATAAAGGACAACAAAGGTGTAAAAAAATCTGGTAGAGGTGCCCAAAATTATAAATTTTTTGATGCTCTTGATGAAATTTTGGGAGACAAGCCATCTAACAGTAACACTTTTTGCATTGAAGTTGGGGTAAATAAGGATCAACCCAACTCTGACCAAGAAAGTCCCATTAACTACCCCCCAGAGGGTGTGCCTTCAACCTCAAATCAGACCCCAGTTTCAAATACCAGTTCTTGCTCAGAATCATTGCGCGAGACACCTCCCCTTAGGAACAAAAGGAAATCAAAATCAGAGAGTCAATCAGAAAATTACTTACAGGCCAAAATGAAAAGACATGAAGACAGAATGAGAATTGAGCACCAAAAATTACAACTTGAAAAGGATAAAGTAGATCTGCTGAAGAAGATTCTGGCATCTCAGCAAATAAAAAATGATTAGATTAAGTAGATAAGCATTTAGCATTATTAAGTATTATTAATATTTGATACATTTTGTGATGATAAATTAAAATAAAACATGCAAATGAGATATTATTTATTGATATAAAAAACAATTACAGACATTTATTCATGATCATCTTGAAATATTTCATCAATGATATCATTGTCAGTTATACATATATTATGGAGGACACAAGCTGCAATAACACACTTTACAATTAAAGCTGGCTTTAGATTTTCCATACATCTCAGTCTCCTGAATCTCCCTTTTAACAGGCCAAAGGCATGTTCAATGACCATTCTTGTGGAGGAATGTTTGAAATTATATTCCCTTTCTTCTTCTGTGAGATGTCCATTATCCTTATAGGGAGGTTTCAGCCATCTTAACAAGGGATAAGATGAGTCTCCTAGTAGATAGTATTTCCCATAAAAAAGATTATCATATTCTTCATTCGCTTTTCTGTAAATTGAACTTTTCCTGAGTACCCTAGCATCATGTACAGAACCAGCATCCCCAGCAAAAATGTCTATAAACATCATTTTTGAGTTTACAATTCCCTGAAGGATCATGCTATGGTAACCTTTTCGGTTGACAAAATCTTCTTCATGATTTATTGGTCTCCGAATTCTAATATGATAACCATCAACTGCCCCAATTATATTATCCAGACCTTTTTTCTTTTTGAAGTTCTCAGATTCAATAAGAGCTTCATTTTCTGATGGCCATTTTATGAAATTTGGACTCATGCCCACCAAGAAATCAATGACAGCAGAAATTACATTATATGCACAACTTACTGATGCATCAAATCTATCACCTATCTGCCTAAAACTTTCCATATTGGCGAGGTACCAAATTGTCATGTATATTGCTTTTTCAGCACTTATTTGATTCCACCCTCCTCTAAATGGTTTAATATAAGGGCGATATAAATCTAAAAATACAAATATACCTGAGTATAAAATATAAGGCTGAATTGTTCACAATTAATAAACACTGAAAAACACATTTAACTTACCTATCAATTTTTTCATTGTTGCTCTATTAAGGCGAAAATGTTTCTTGAAGTCATCATCCAAATAACTGTTTATTGTTTCCATATAATCAGATATTCTTATACGTTTTCTTCTGACCTGGTTGCAATCGTCACTATCTTCAGTTTCAGACGAAAAAGAAGATTCAAGTAATAGACTAACAGGACGGGTCAGTTCAGTCTGAAACAAAATGCAAACAGGGCAAGGTAACATGTTGAGTCAAGTAGGATAATATCAACATACCAAAGCAAATTTCGTAAGCTCGTCCATCATCATAGGTACGACAAATATTTATTGTACAATAGACATACTTTTTTAACAAATGTCTGTTTTAAATCCTTGAAAAAAAAAACCAGAGGTGAAGGTAGCAAAGCAAACTTCAAAATATAACCATTCTTTTATCACAACACAAGCCCCAAATACAAAAAAAAAAATAGAAAAATCACCAGCTGACAAGTGACACATCAGGTGGTAGCGTTATTTCGGACCTTAAATTTGAAACATGTTCCATTGAACAAACGGATCATGATCTCGGAATCATGATTCGAATATATTGCGAAAGAATGCGGCTAGTGATGTGAATTCTGGAAGATATCGTAGAGGATTTGATACGTATATATCACTAGAATAATAATTTACTACACCATTGTTCAGACAGCCGATACGCGACGAGCACCATGAGTGAAGACACTAGTTTGAAGCGAAAATTAATAGAAGCAACTGATTCTGTCAGAAAAAAATTCAACGCCATCAAAAACATTCAAAAAAATGAATATTCAAGTTTGGAAAAAATGTATGGACCCGTTCTAGAACCAATTAATCTTTTATCGAAATCAATCAAAGCAGAAATGACGGATCGAAAACAACAACCAAATTTCCAGCAAATAAAAAGTACAATTAAGCAAGACCCATCGGAATTTACGGGTGCCGAGACAAAATTCTCAAACGTTTCGTTACCTGAAAGCTATGTTTACGACTTACATGCAAACCCCACAAAATACGACACAGTTTACGGTGTTCGTATTGCTACTGGCATTGACAAATATAACTTATATCTCGGACATTCCGAAATCAGTTTCGCTTCTGGAAATATCATATTAAGAAAAAATAATAAAAATATTGGCGTTTTCGAAGGAAATGATGATTTATACAATCTACTTTTTCTTAAGGATCCTCCACAGCTCAAATATATGGAGGACATATCTCTCGAAAATTTGAAGCGATACACGCAGATGTTAAAACTAACCAGTGCAGCACATTTAGATTATAACCCAAAAAAAGCTTTGCGGTCAACCAGAAGTGAGAAATTCATTAATCTAATCAAACCTTTGCTCACTAAATCAGAAGGTATGGGAATGAAATTGAATGAATACAATGGAATGACTCTCAAAAAAAATACAACCATCTCGACGAGTTGATTATGTCCATTGGAACACTCCTAAAGAGTTGATAAGTCGCTTAAGGCTTTTGTTTGCATCGAAAAGTGCCGGTAATACAGGACACGATAATGAAATTGTATCTATTTTAGAAGAACTCAGAGAAGAGGGGATTATTTATTGAGAATATTGTTATAGACTTTATGATTAGTAGGAATTAAGACATTGTTCACGATGGAACCTTCTACTACAAAATGGGAAATAGTTAACGAACTGCACAAAGGCGTGAGAAAAAACTTCAGACGACGTCGAACCATAGTAAAAAATTATATGGATTCCTGGCAAATAGATCTTGCAGATTTCCAAAAATATGCTAATGACAATAATGGTTATCGCTATATATTGGTTTGCATAAACTGTTATTCGAAATTTGTTTATACTGAACCAATTAAATCTAAAACAGTGTGGGAACTCATCCACATAAGAAATTGTAATTTTTGTGGACTGTAGTAAGGCTGGAAGTCTGAAACCAAAACTTTGGGAACAGAAAAGCACTTCGATATCTATTTACACTATTTCACACTTTATTTTTACTTGAACGTTATTTACACATATGTACAGGGTGAGATGACTTGAGGCCAGAGCTCACATTAACTACTGCCTATAGGGCAGAGTTTTTAATTATGGTTTTACAAAATAAATATTGTTAGAAAAGAACTAACTTGTTGATGCTTGTTACCATGTTGCTCGCAGTACAGACACGGCACAACTGGGGTGCGTTCATAAATGAACGCCCGGCGCTCCCCGATCGCCCAAATGCGTTCATAAATGACTTCGGCTTCACCGGTGTCAATGTTCCAGGCGTTCATAAATGTTCGTTGGTGTGCACCCGGAGCGCGCCCGAATCGACCTGCTAGCTGACATGGGTAAAAATGACCCGACATGCGCAGTACGTTTCAGGAGTGGACGTTTGTTTGTTTTCGGTTTTCGGGTTCGCAGTTTTCGTTTATTATTGATAACCTCGAAAAAGGAGATTTTTGATATTTTTAAACTGTTGAGTATTATTTATTGAAGTTGGTTGAAGTTGTTAATATGGATGAGGAAATGGAAATTAATCCCGAGAATTTCAAACTGATCGAAATTGATGGATCACCATTTGCAAACGATGAAAATCACATATATTTACAACATGTTCTAGGTTAGTATTTAATTTACAGGTTTCTGATAATAATTACAATAGTTTCTCTGAATCAATCATTAGTTTTGACCATTTTATATAGTTTTGAGAGCGACCCAAGTTGGTGATTGTGTCATTAAACGTCCCACGAATTTCGCTACAAATCTTTTATGAAACGATAGTTCACTTACTGAAATATTATTTTGATCCAAGAAAAGTTGTGGCAAATTACCTAATTCACTTTTTCTCTAGAGAAAATAAGTAAAATGAGATGCTCGATCTGGTGAAGTATTACAAGGTTAATAGGTATATTTTATTTGAAATGCCCAGGCCTGGTTAGATGCGATGCGGGAAATATTAAATGAATAAATTTATTTGCTCAAATTAATAGGAGAATATTGTTATTTAAAATCATCCCTTGAATTGTTTCGAAAAGCATGATTTTCCAGCCAGTCTAGCGGTATCGCCGGTTGGATTGTCGGAGGAGTTTGGTTTGATGGCGGTGAGTTTGGTTAGTATAATTTTTCTCATTTCTTTATGCGCTTTTATACCTATTTTTTGAAATTTAATGTAATGTTTTTTTCGTTGAAACGCGTGTATTCCGCAATTTTTTCTTTTCAAAAAAATACTATTAGAACCAGAACTTACGTCTAAAAATTGTTTTTTCCTTTAATTGGTGGGACGCTATATGACACAAGACCCCCATTATTATTATAAACCATATAATATGCTACTTTTGCAACTACATGAATCTGATAGAACTTGTAGGGTATCTTTCAAATGTGTAGGATATGTAGTTCCTATTTTTTTCAGATGGAAGCATTATAATTGCACCTTTAGATGAAGAGATAAAAAATATGTTTTTTCCATGTCAAGCCACACAGCAGTCAACTTCAATGCATAAGAGCAGTGGAACTCGAACATGGACTCGATCTGACATTCTAGCATTAATAGATGCAGTGAAAAACCATCAGGAAAAATTCAAGTCCAGTACAATGAAAAATGACGCTGTTTGGAAAATTATTTCTGCTACATTGGAAAAAAAAGGAAAATGTTTCACAGCGACTCAGTGTAAAGACAAATATAAGTATCTCAAAGGAAAATATATGAAAAAAAAAGATAATATGAGTGACAGATCCAGTGGTGCGGAATTTATAAAATTTGAATATTTCCACGAAATGGACGAATTTTTGGGAACGTCCCATAATGCAAACCCTATTGCCTTGGCTTCTAACATCAAAAAGCACCAAGGTAAATATACGACTGGGGGAATTGTAAAAGAATTACATTGTCATCTATCACTACATAGATGTATATAGGATGGAATTCTTAAATCAAATAAATTCAGTATTGGAAAGCCTGTTTATTTGCTGAAAAAATTAAAAAAAAAACGGGTCCCTTTATTTGTAATTTAGCACATTTTTTCGACCTTCTCATGGAATTTACCCCTTTTATAAGGGTTTCAACTTTTTTATCAAATGTAAAGGCATGTATTGTGATAGCTCGTTGGAATGGGCATAAAAAAAGGAATATGACACATTATTTACTTTTGCATTTCGGATTTCGGTGATCTAGGAAGCTAGAAAATATTCAAAAAATATCTTTTCACAAAATTTTTTTTACTGTTAAAATTGTTGAATATCTTCAGGATTTTTTCTTGGTAGAACGCCCCCTTTGTTATGTTATGTAATAATTTGGTGCCTTACACTCAGATTGTCAAAATTAAATAGTGTACTAACGTCAGAATTTATTACATAACATTACAAATGGGGCTTTTTTTCACATTAGGGTTCTACCAAGAAAAAATTCTGAAGATATTCAACAATTTTAACAGTAGAAAAAATTGTGTGAAAAAATATTTTTTGATTATTTTCTCGCTTCCTAGATCACCGAAATGCAAAAGTAAATAATGAGTCATATTCCTTTTTTTATGCCAATTCCAACGAGCTATCACAATACATGCCTTCACATTTAAAAAAAAAAAGTTTGGGGGGGTTTCTACCCTTATAAAAGGGGTAAATTCCATGAGAAGGTCGAAAAACTGTGCCAAATTAAAAATAAAGGGACCCGTTTTTTTAATTTTGTTCAGCAAATAAACAGGCTTTCCAATACTGAATTTATTCCATTTAAGAATTCCACCTGTATAGTAAGGTGTTCACTTGACAGAATTTGCCGCAGGTAGAGGTAAAGAACAATAATTATCGAAAGTACTGTAAACTGTCCACCTGCGATAGATGCTCTCGAGAGTATTAAGTAGCATTCGACAGTTTTTCTGTTAAGTAAATACTTTTACTTTTAACTTGCCATAAAGCTGAAATCAGAAAGTCATTCCTTTCAACCACCCCATATAATTATATTGCGGAATCTGCATATTACCGCTTATATTACCAAAACGAAACATTCCAAAATTTTAATGTATATTTCAGTCCCAGACACAGAAGAACGCAATATGTTAGACAGTGATGATAATGACACTGATACATCGGAGCCTAGTTTGAAGAAGAAAAAAATTGCCACTAAGCGAAAATTGCCAGAAAAGGAGAGTCCCCTTCAGAAATATGTCAAAGAGTTACATGAAAATACAAATAAAAGAGAAGATAATATGGAAAGACGCCATAAAGAAAATGTGGAATCACGCAAAGAAGCATTAAATGTCTTTGCTCAAAAAATGGATGCTATTATATCAATAATGGCTAATAAAAACAAGCAATAGAGATAATAAAAAAAATTACAATTTTTTTTGTTATTTTGTTCAAAAGTTTATTTGTTGTGTGGTTACCAAAAAAAATGAATATTTTTAATTTTATTCAAGTTGTGTAATTCCACTAGAATTACATTTTTATTATTTTGTTTAAAAGTTTATTTGTTTAGTTATTGGTTATCGTTACCAAAAATAATGTTTATTTTTGTAAGTTCCATTTGATTTAATTTGTCTCCATAAGGTATAGTATTTCCAAAGTCAGTTGGAACAAGGTAACAACTGGTAGCTGATTGAATATTTTCATAAGAAATGCACTGCCACTAGTCAGCTACCAGTGATGATTTATGTTTACCTTGTTCCAATTGACTTTGGAAATACTATACCTATTCTGGCTGTCAAACTTAAATAAATATTAATTTAAAACGAGATTTGACATGAATAAGTACATGTAGTTCAGATTTAATGAAATTTATTTATACCTCTACTCTCGACCCAAACTTAATGTCTAAAAGCCAATAAATGTTCATTATAAATAAATAGTATAAACAATAGTATATTACGATAAAAGTGGTAATTCTAAACATTTGTGGAACGTATCCCCAGCACTCTTTAAGGTTGATTTAGGGTTTCTTGGTGTTAAGTTTAATGGCAACTTCTGGATTATTCTGCGGTTTTTTTGCTACTTTTCTTACCAAGAAGTCGTTTGATTTTTACTCTACTCAAAATTAAAAAATAAATTTTAATAATTTGTAGGAGGTAGTTTTTGTTGCCAGTCCCTGCCACATCCCTAGTATCTTGTATGACTGTTATTGACAAGGATACAAAAAAAAATTAGTCCGGAAAAGTACTTTATTGCACTATTTAAAATTTGATTTATTATAGCTCAATTCGATGAATATTCACAATTTCACATTACTCTTCACTTTTTGATCAAAATTCACTAAAAAGTTTGTGGCGTATTAGGCCATAATTATAAGCTATAAGCTCGTAGAACAAATCTAGTACGTAACACGATGCGTAAAGTGCCTTTTCCGCCCTTGCCGGCTTGCCAGAACTCCGCTTTGCGTCGTTTGTGCAACTGCCGTGGCGTGCGGAAAAGTTCCACTTTTGCACATGTTAGGTAAATAACTAATTTCCACTTGTACTGTAATACACTATTATTTGCATAATCTACAGTGAATTATTAGCAGGTTTCGTTCAAAAATACAATTTGCATCATACATTCTATTGATACTGATATAATGTCCTACATATCTGTTGCCTTTTATTTCTACCTTCTTGTACTTGTTCATTATAAAAAACATCAATATCTTCTCCGTTGTTTTGTACAGCATTTAATCCTCCTCTCACATATTCCTCAATCAATAAGTCTTCAAAATTTAAACATATATTGTGTAATATAGTGCAGGCAAGAACAGTATTGGGAATAAAACTTGTTTTGTTCATGTCCAAAAATTTCAATCGTCTGAAGCGCCCAAAAAGAAGTGCAAAAGCTCTTTCTATAGTTTGTCGAGTCTGACTTACTTTTGTATTAAAATATCTCTGTGCTGCAGTTAAGTTCCCACGGTCAATGAAAGGTGGAATGCACCATGTTAAAACCGGATAGGCTTTGTCACCAATGATAAATTCTTCTAAAAATAATTCAGAAATAATATCCACGTAAGTTACATTCTATGAGATTTTTGTCATACCATTTGGAATATAGTGATCATGATTGTTTAGTACAGCAAAATATAGATCGGAATTCCGAAATATTCGTGTATCGCTAACTGATCCCGGAAATCCTACGAAACAGTCTGTAAACTTTAATCGATTATCACAAACAGCTTGTAAAGTCATCGCGTAATTACATTTTCTTGTCAGGTAAGAGTTTGGGTCTTCTTTGGGTGCTTTGATTACAATAAATGTACCATCAACTGCACCTATAATATTCGGAATTCTTGCAATTCGTTCGAAACCTTCTTTAACTCTTTCTAAATCATTCCCTCTTGGCCATTTTATAACTTGTGGAGCTATGTCACATAGAGCATTTACTACTCTCGTAAAACATTTTGAAAGAGACGATTTTGCCATATCAAATCTCTCTCCTACAGACCTATAAAACCATTTTGTTTTAACAGTTAAATACCCAGTGTACTTTCTGCCCTTACCGATATGAATCTGGTGTTGCCAGCAACCAAATAACAGCTAAAATTTGTTTTTCAACATCTAATCTGCTTCTGCCAACATCTGTTTGTCTAATTAATATTGGGCCAATATATCCTAATAATGTATCATATGCATCCAAAGTTATTCTGAAATTTTGTTGAAACTGACCCCTAGTGTAATTCCAAACAACCTTTTCAACATAATTTTCTATACGGTCAGGTTTATAAAAACTTCGTTTACGTGATATCTGGATTAAATTAGGTAAATCCTCATCCTCATGTGTTTCTTCAGAGTCTTCCTCCAACAGTATCATGTAGCAAAAATTAATTATGCTCACTAGTATTAGCACAACAATTTCTTCGTCCAACATAATTTTCGCAGGTCACAGAGCTAGAGCTATTTTTATAGTACTGTACTAGAATCCTCACTAAAACTAGAAACTAATAAGGTAATAAATAATATTTTTTTTATTTGAAAAGTTGGGTTAAGATGAATTTCACCACTACCTAGTTGACGGATGATTCTGACAGACAGAAATTACGCTCCGCTCGTTCATATATTTTTCAAGTCCCGGGCGCACTCTGGGTAAATATCGCTCTGGGCGAATTTCGCCCGGGTATTTCATTTATGAACGCACTCTTGCTTTTGTTTTTAATTTATAGTCATTTGTAAACTGTAAACTGTAAACAAAACAAATAATTTATTCATAATCCATCGTCAGCTGATCGGCGTCAAAATCAAATCAAAACTTGTTGCTCAACGTCACTGACAGGCAAGGATATTACACCAGCAAAATCCTGTTCCAACAAGGAATAACGTACTCCGTCCAATGTTGTTTCAGAGTACTCCGTCGACGTCACTGCCAAGCAAGGATATTACACTTACTAAGTGACAAAGAAGATCCTGTTCAAACAAGGAAAGACGTACTCCGTCGCGCAGCGTGACTTGACCATGGGCGAACGGAACGCTTATGCTAGGCGGACCAATTGGAGGACCGGAAATGATTTTGGCGACTCTCCATTGGCCAGGCATTGATGACATTGGAAAATTATGGAAGATGCAAAAATAATTACTTACAATTATTACATCCTGCTTCCGAAGGACCAAATTATGTGGGAACTCATCCACATAAGAAATTGTAATTTTTGTGGACTGTAGTAAGGCTGGAAGTCTGAAACCAAAACTTTGGGAACAGAAAAGCACTTCGATATCTATTTACACTATTTCACACTTTATTTTTACTTGAACGTTATTTACACATATGTACAGGGTGAGATGACTTGAGGCCAGAGCTCACATTAACTACTGCCTATAGGGCAGAGTTTTTAATTATGGTTTTACAAAATAAATATTGTTATGGTGGATTTATACAGCAAATAACATAACATAAGAATAAGATAAAAATAAGAATAACATTAAATAAGAAATAAGAATAAGAATGCATTTATACGAGAAATAAAATAAGAATAAGATTGGAAATCGTCCAATAATAACTTTCGGGAGACGCCTGCGCACCTCCAAGTTTTTGGAACTGTCAAGTGTGTCAACCATATGTTTTATAATTTTTCTAAAAAATAAAAGATTTGTTTATGTCTATGGTGTTCAAGTTTTGAGTTTTGTGGTTTAAATTTTGAATTTTGGAAAATGTTGGACGACATTGAGGCTGCGGTTTTACTCATGACTTTCATGACGATTGCAATCCAGTTGAATTTGCTGCGGAAAAAACGAAACAGGAGGTTTAAGGTTAGGCCAATGAACAGAAATAGGACCAATGTTTCTGTATATGACAAACTCTTGAAATTTGCTAAGCGAAATGACAGAGAACAATTCTTTAAGTATACCAGGATGTCCCCAGAACTGTTCGATAAGCTTCTTGACCTTATCAGACCATATATAACAAAAGATCCTTCAAAGTGCCCGATTTCAGCAGAACAAAGATTAGCTGTAACATTACAGTGAGTATAGACGATTCACTAATGTTTATATATGTTTTAAATAATAAACTGCATCTACTAAATCCCTAACAATATTTTTCTTTTTGCAGTTATTTATCTGAAGGGTGCTCAATGCAAGAAATTGCATGGAACAATTACATTGGCTTAACCACAGCTCATTGTATCATAAAGGAAACATGTAAAGTTCTCTGGGAGACGTTGCAACCTCTAGTACTCGAAACACCATCTAAAGAAAAGCTAAAAACTATTTCAAATGAATTTTATAAGAAATGGAATATGCCAAACTGCATCGGAGCACTAGATGGCAAACATGTGGAAATTCAGTGTCCAAAATATTCAGGATCAACATATTTTTCCTACAAGAAGTCATTTAGGTAAAATAAGAATCATTATAGTATAGTATGCTTAATAATTAATGTTGAAAATTATATCTTTAGCATAGTTTTGATGGCTACATGTGACGCCTATTACAAGTTCACATATGTGGACATTGGAAGTGCAGGGGCAAATCATGATTGTGCTGTATTTAAGGAGTCGAGCTATGGAAAATCTTTAATTGAAGGGACATTACAGTTACCAGAAGCAAAAATTTTGCCAGGAACTGACATCCAGTTTCCCCATTACTTTGTAGCTGATGCTGCATTTCCTCTGCATGAAAATATAATGCGGCCTTATGCAGGAAGCTACCTTGAAGATCACGAAAACATTTTTAATTTGAGGCTTTCAAGAGCAAAACGTTGCATTGAAAATGCATTTGGCATAATGGCCCAGAGATGGAGGAGGTTACGTAGTACTATTATAGCAAATGTGGAAACATGTGAGCTTATTGTACAAGCTATAGTAGTGCTTCATAATTTCATTCAAAAGGGTGAAGAAGACATACCCGAATCCCAAAGAAGGTACTGTCCTACAGGATTTGCAGACTCTGATGATATTAATGGAGAGCAAAAAGAAGGCGAATGGAGA